CTAGTTCCTGTCCTTTCCTGCCTTCTCATATTGCTTTTGGTCTTGCCCATTTTGTCTCGTATATTTGATTGTCTCCTTCACTTCTGAAGGATAATTTCACTGGATATAGGACTCTAGGATGGTGTTTCCTACCTCTTTCCACTCACCCCCACCCCCCAACTCTTTAAATATATCACTGTACTCTATTTTTTTACTTGGTTTCTGAGAAGTCTGCTGTATTTTTAGCTTTCTTCCTCTATAGAATTTTTTCCCTCTGGTTTTTTCAGGATTTTCCCTTTGCCTTTAGTTTTCTGCAGTTTGAATGTGACATGCCTAGGCATTGATTTTTTGGTATTTATTATGCTTGGTGTTCTTTGAGCTTCCTGGATCTGTGGTTTAGTGTCTGTCATTAATTTTGGAATTCTTTTTTCTCTTTGCATGTCAGTTTGACAAGTTTATGTTGATATATCTTCAAGCTCAGTGATTCTTTCCTCAGCTGTGTCAAGTCCATGGATGAGCCTATCAAAGGCATTCTTCATTTCTGTTACATTGTTTTTTATTTGTGACATTTCATTTTGATTATCTGCTTACATTGACCGTTTGTTAATTCATGTTAACTGTTTTTCCATTAGAGCTCTTAACCTACTAATCATTTAAAAAAAAAACCGAAACCCATTGCAATTGAGTCAGTTCCAACTCACAGTAACCCTGTAGGACAGAGTTGAACTGCCCCATAGGGTTTCCTAGGCTGTAATATTTATAGAAGCAGACTGCCACATCTTACTCCCAGGGAGTGGCTGGTGGGTTTTAACAACCAGCCTTTCGGTTAGCAGCTGAGCGTTTAACCTGTGCGCCACCAGGGCGCCTACATAGTTATTTTAAATTCCCAGTCTGATAATTCCAACATCTGTGTCATATCTGATGCTTGGTTTATCTCTTCAGATTGTGTTTTTTCCTGCCTTTTGTCATGCTTTGTAATTTTTTGTTAAAAGCAAGACATGTTATATTAGGTAATAGGAACTAAGGTAAATAAACCTTTAATATGAAGGTGAATGTTATTCTGGCTAGGAGTTGGGCTTTGTTTGATGTTTACTGTAACTGCACATACCAGAGGCTCCAGGGCCATTGTTGTCTCTCCTGTTGACTCTGGGCTTCCCTAAGTCCTTCTCCTCAGAGAGAATCTGTGCCTTGTAGCTCTTTCAGTTTAATCTGAGGTTGATATACTGGAACCCTGTTAGTGTAATGGTCAGGTTTGGGGAGGGGAAGTGTTCTTATGATCATCTTATGATTAAATCTTACCCTTGTAGTGAGCTTGTGTTTTGGGGCTGTGACCTTCACAAGGTGAGACAGGAAGGCTAGAGGGGACTAGAGTGGAAGGAATTCCCTTCTCCAGCTGAGATAGGGCTCTAGTAAAGTCTTTCTGACTGGAGAATAGTCCTTTGCTGTGATGTTTTTATAATGACTGGAGCCCTGGTGACACAGTGGTTAAGTGCTCAGCTGCTAACCAAAAGATTGGCAGTTCAAATCCACCAGCCACACCTTGGAAACCCTGTGGGGCAGTTCTGCTCTGTCCTATAGGGTAACTGTGAGTAGCAATTGACTCAATGGCAATGGGTTTGGTTTTGGTTTTTTATAATAACTGCTTTGTAACTGCATATACCAAAGACAAAGATGCAATTAATAACATTTTTATATTTTCTGAGTCTAGTTAATGATGGAAACCCTGATGGCATAGTGGTTAAACACTATGGCTGCTAACCAAAAGGTCAGCAGTTCAAATCCACCAGGCGCTGCTTGGAAACTGTATGAGGCAGTTCTACTCTGTCCTGTAGGCTCGCTATGAGTCGGAATGGACTCAACAGCAACGGGTTTGGTTTTTTGGTTTTTTTAGTTAATGAACAGATTTTTGTTCATGCTGCACCAAGTTTAATTTTAGCAAGAATTTGTTATGTCTTAGATTTATGTCTTTTGTATCATTTATTTATAACAAAAAGTATTTTATTAGAAACATTTCAGACCTACAGAGAAATTGAAAGAGTTGTAGAGTGAACATGTTTACATCTACCACCTATACTCCTCAATTAACATTGTGCTATATTTGCTTTGTCATGTATCTGTGTGTTTTCCCTTAATTTCTACAGTTGTATATTAGCATTTGTACTTACTTATACTGTGATATTGCCCTATTCTCCTATTGCTTTTTCTTTATTCTCCTAGAACTCAGAGCTGGTATTATACAGAATAACCTTGACCTTCACTATAGTATTAACATCACTGGTTTTGTGGGACAGTTGGGACCTCTACTGTTTGTAGCTTTGTTTCAGGCAACTGATTTTTGTAAGATAGCTGCTTAACTAATGATTTTAAAGGAATAGATATCATTTTCATAATAAAAAGTTAAAGAATTTTTTCTTTATTACAAAAAATGAGTCCAGTGAGTACTCATTTACCTATAACTCAAATAGATGCAGCAACTCAAATAGACACAGCTGTTGACCACACACACACACACTGTATTGCTGAAACATTTTAAAGAAAATTATAGATATCCTGACACTTTGTCATGGATTGACTTGTGTCCCCCCAAAATATCTGTCAACTTGGCTGCGCCATGATTACCAGTATTGTGTGATTGTCCACCATTTTGTCATCTGATGTGATTTTCCTGTGTCTTATAAATCCTGTCTCTATGACATTGATGAGATGGGATTAGTGGCAGTTATGTTAATGAAGCAGGACTCAGTGTACAAGATTGGACTGTGTCTTGAGCCAATCTCTTTTGAGAATTAAAAGAGAGAAGCGAGCAGAGAGACATGGAGACCGCATACTACCAAGAAACAACAGCCAGGAGAATAGCATATCCTTTGGAGCTGGGATCCCTGTGCTGAGAAGCTCCTCGACCAGGGGAAGATTGATGACAAGGACCTTACCCCAGAGCTGACAGAGAGAAGAAGCCATCCCCTGGAGCTTGTGCCCTGAATTCGGACTTCTAGCCTCCTAGACTGTGAGAGAATAAATTTCTCTTTTTTAAAGCCATCCACTTGTGGTATTTCTGTTATAGCAGCCCTAGATAACTAAGAAACACTTCATCCCAGCATGCACCTTAAAAAAAAAGGGCATTTTCCCACATGTGCTATATTTTCCACAACACTGTTACAAAATAATAATATACTAATGATAAAAAATAATAACCCAACTCTACTGCCTTTTCTAATTATATATAATAGCTAACCTTTTGGGATATGTTCACTGATATTATTCCTTAGAATCTTGGTGTTTTCTCAGATACTATTGTTAAGGACTTCATTTTCTTCACCACCTGAGCTACAGCAGTTGTCTTCCAGCTTCCTGTTTTCTCTTCTCTATTGACCTTCTCTAATCCATCCTCTACAGTAAAACCAGAATAATGTCTTTTTAAAACTTGAATCAGACCATGTCTGTCTCTGTCTCGCTCTCTTCCTCCTTCAGACTTCTTGTATTTAGAGTACAATATAATCCAAGCTCCTTGGCATGGTTTATAGGATACGACATAATCTGCTCCCTGCCCCGCCCCTTCAACCTCATTTTCTATTTCTCTTCCCCTTCTCTTTATGTTCCAGAAAAATATAATTACTATCTTTTTCTTGCACATGCCAGGCTCTTCTCTGTACAGATAGTCCCTGACTTACGACATATTCAAGTTACGATGAATCACACTACAACCATCCATTTTTTTGTACATCTTGTTGTTAGTAATATGTAATACATATAGTATTGTAGTGCATAATTTGCTGATGTTATCATTCTCAGATGGTCACTCGAAGATGTTCAGTATTAAGATTTACTGTCAAAACACTGCTGTATAGCCGGCAATAATGAAAACTAAAAAAAAAAAGAGGTATTTGACTTACGTCAGAACCGATTTACAACAGAGTTGTCAGAACAGAACCCCGTCATAAGTCGGGGACTACCTGTATTAGGGCCTTTGCACGTGCTGTTTTCTGCACCACTGCCACAACCCCACTCTTTTTATTCTTTAGTCTCTTTTTTTATTCTGCAGCGTGTTACTTCTTCAGACAGGCCTTCCCCTCATGACATATTTAGGCGTGTCACCTATTCTTTTACACAGCACCTTCTTAATATCTTCATAATCCTTTATTCAGTGTATAAATGCATATTTATTTACTTTTTTCATGACTGTTCCTAAGTTCCGCTGTGGTGGGGACCATTATACACCAGACTTGGCACACAGTTGCTAAGAGGTGAATCAGTGAGAGACGTGCATAACCTCTGTCTTAGCTCTCTAGTGCTGCTGTAACAGAAATACAACAAGTGGGCGGCTTTAACAAACAGAAATTTACTTTCTCATAGTTTGGGAGGCTAGAAGTCTGAATTCAGGGTGCTGGCTTTGGGAGAAGGTCCTTATCTCCTTTCGGCTTTTGTTCTCAGCTTCTTGGCAATCCTCATGTGGTACGGCACCTGTCTTCTTTCATCTGTGCTTGCTTCTGTGCCTAATCTTCTCTATCCCAAGAATGATTGGCTTAAGACACACTCTACACTGATAATGGCCTCATTAACAAAGAAAAACTCTTAATCACAAATGGGATTATATCCATACGTATATTGGTGGTGGTGGTGGTGTGTGCTGTTGAGTTGATTTCTACTCATGGTGACCCTGTAGGAGTTAATATTCCAACGTATATTTTAGGGGACACAATTCAATCCAGAGCAGCCTCACAAAGTTATTGTAAAAGGGACAGCTCTCACAGCATTTATTGGTTTGACAAACTTAAAAATGAATCACAGGACTTTGTATTTACTGCCATGTGTGTTTAAAATTTGATCCAAATTATTCTCTCATTTGAATTACATACTGTGGCAAGTCATTTCACGTGATTTTGGGATCGGGTTTAACTTGGAAATCCAAGTAGGTATAAGATCAAAGTTCAATGTAGAATAAAACATTTTTGGATATTCTGTATGTCTGTTGCATAAAAATTTGGTTTCAGTGATTTCATCGTTGTTTTTTCTTCCTTTTACAGACTGAGACAACACTTGGACTCAGTTCATATCAGCAGAAAAGGTAGGCTTGTTTGTGTATTTAGTAAGGCAGTAGCATACATTGAGTTTCTTTTGGGAAGTCCTACAGTTTTTCTCTTTTGCCTCACTTCTTTGGTGAAGAGGGAATAGCAAATTATAAATCACATTGTATCATGTATTTCTAAGCACTGTGTATGGAAAAACAGGTTTAATTCTGAGTTTATGTGTAATACATTGTGTAGAATTCCTCACACATGAGGTCGACATGAGTTGGAATCTACTGGATGTCCCTAACAACAGCAATCACATATGGGGTTTGTTGTTGTTGTTAGGTGCCGTCAAGAGGATTCCAACTCATAGTGACCCCATGTGACAGAGTCGAACTGCCCCATAAGGTTTCCTGGACTTTAATCTTCACGGAAGCTTATCACCAGGTCTTTCTCCCACAGAGCTCGGTGGGTTCCAACTGCCAGCCTTTCAGTTAGCAGCCAAGCGCTTAACCCTGAACGCCACCAGGACTCCACATATGGGGTTTACTTAGCTTAGAATCCCCTTGCTTTGTAAGAGGGTTAGCTTTGTAACTCTTATCTTGTGCCTTTTAGGGACTGACTGTGGCTGCCTTCGGTTATCCGGATGTCTGCCTGCCCGTGGCTGCTTTCGGTTATCCGGAGGTCTGCCTGCAGGCACATGGAGGGAGAGCTCAGAGCAGTTGAACCCAGTCTTCTGACTAAAAGAGCCTTTTAAACACAGATTTTCTGTGATAGTCTGAGGGTTGTTTTACTCTCAGATATTGTGAAAATACATACACTCATGTGAATTGAAGATACCTTCTCCACCCCCACCCCCACCCCCCACATTGGCAGCTTCTCGTGTTTCCTAGGGGGCCAGTATGAAGGAACAATACTAGCCAGCTTCCCCATCCATAGCCATAGAAATACTCCTCCTGGTGTCTGAAGGGCAATGAGAGGTATCTGGGAATTAGATAACTAGTCCCTCCGGCAACTTTTTTATGTCCGTTGCTGTATTTACTAATCACTTCCCTAGGGAACTATAGATTTTAAAACGTTTTAGCTTTAAAAGAAGCCCTGGTGGTAGTGGCTAAGCACTCAGCTGCTAATCGAAAGGTCGGTGGTTTGAACCCACCAGCAATCTGCTCCCATAAAGATGGCAGCCTAGGAAAGGCAGCCTATGGAGCAGTTTTACTCTGTCCTGTAGAGTCGCTGTGAGTTGAAATCAACTGGGCGGCAATAGTTTGCTTTTTTTTGTTTAGTTTAGAGGATTGTATAATAGCAACTCCTCTTTGCCAGGAACTACTGGTCAAGCACCCAAAACCTGTTCTACTGACTTCCTTTACTGATAATTGGAATCCTGGAAGTGGTATTATTGGAGTTCCCAGATAAGAAATCCAATTCACAGATTTAAGAATTTAACTTTTTTTATACTGTGTTTTTAAGAGTACTTTTTTTCTTGTAATTATTCTTGAAACAAGAGCAAACCAATTTTATTTTACGGTGGTAAAATATATGTAACATAAAATTTCCCATATTAACCATTTTTAAGTGTACAATCCATTGACGTCAGTTGCATTAACAGTGTTGTACAACCGTTACAGCTTTCTGTTTCCAAAACTTTTTCATCATCCCAAACAGAAACTCAGTAACATTGAAACAGTAAATCCCACTGCTGTCTCCCCTCAGCCCCTGGTATCTGCTGATCTACTTTGCCTCTATGCATTTGCCTATTCTAAATATTTCATTTGAGTGGAATCTGACTTATTTCACTCAGTGCAATGTTTTCATGGTCCGTTCATGTTGTAGCGTGTATCAGAGCTTCATTTCTCTTTATGGCTGAATAATATTCCGTTGTAAGGATAGACCACATTTTGTTTATCCATTCATCTATTCATGGACACTTGGATAATTGCAGCAGTGAACGTTGGTGTACACGGATCTGGTTGAGTCCCTGCCTTTCAAGTCTTTTGGGTTTGTACCTAGGAGTGGAATTGCTAGCTTATATGATACTTCTGTTTAACTTTTTGAGAAACTGCCAAACTGTTTTTCATAGCAGCTGCGTCATTTTACATTCCTCCTAACGGGGTGAGGGTTTCGGTGTCTCGACATTCTTGCCAACGTGTCTCCGTTATTTTCCTTGTAGTGTGCGTGAAGTGGTATCTCAGCTGTGGTTTTGACTTGTATTTCCCTAATGACTCATGATAATGAGTATCTTTTTATGTGCTTATTGGTCATTTGTGTATCTTCTTTGGGAAAATATCTATTCAAGTCCTTTTCCTATTTTTTAATTGAGTTGTTTGTCTTTTTGCTGTTGAGTTGTAGGAGCTTATGTTGTTGTTGTTAGGTGCTGTCCAGTCGGTTCTGACTCATAGGGACCCCATGTACAACGAAATGAAGCACTGCCCAGTCCTGCAGCATCCTCACAGTCATTGCTATGTTTGAACTCTGCTGCAGCCACTGTGTTAATTCATCTTGTCGAGGGTCTTTCTCTTTTTCTCTGACCCTCTACCTTACCAAGCATGATGTCCTTCTCCAGGGACTGGTCCCTCCTGATAACATGTCCACAGTATGTGAGACAAAGTCTCGCCATCCTCGCTTCCAAGGAGCATTCTGGCTGTACTTCTTCCAAGACAGACTTGTTGGTTCTTCTGGCAGGCCATGGTATAGTCAGTGTTCTTCGCTAGCACCATAATTCAAAGACATCAACTCTTCTTTTTTTGTATACTCTGTATATTAAATCCTTCTGAGGATGTATGATTTCCAAATATTATCTCCGATTCTGTAGGTTGTCTTTTCACTTTCTTAGTAATGCCCTTTGCATAAAAGTTTTTAATTTTGATGAAAGCAAATTAACCTATTTTTTTTCTTTTGTTGCTTGTGCCTTTGGGGTCAAATGGAAGAATCCATTGACAAAAATAATGCCCTGAAATTTACCCTCATGTTATCTTCTAAGAGTTTTATGGTTTTAGCTCTTATATTTTGATCGTTGATTCATTTTGAATTAATTTTTGCATATAGTGTTAGGTATGGGTCCAACTTCATACTTACGCATGTGAAAATCCAGTTGTCCTAGCACCATCTTTAAACAGACTGTTCTTTCCCTATTAAGTGAACTTAGCGCCCTTGTCAAAAATCAATCAACCGTAGATGTACAGGTTTATTTCTGGACTCCCAGTTCTGTTGGTCTGTATGTCTATCCTTGTACCAGTACCACACTTTTTGATCGCTGTAACTTTATATCAATTTCGAAATTGGGAAATCCCAGTGCTCCTATTTTGTTCTTTTTCAAGATTGTTTTGGCCATTTGGGGCCCCTTGCATTTCCATATGAATTTGAGAATAGGCTTTTCCATTTCTACAGAAAAGGCTGTTAGAATTTTAATAGGGATTACGTTGAATCTATAGATAGCTTTGGGTGGGATAGACATCTTACCAATTTTAAATCTTCCAATCCGTAAACATGAGATAGCTTTCCATTTACTTTGGTATTCATTGCTGGTGTATAGAAGTACAACTTATTTTTGTGTGTTAATCTAGTACCCTGCAACTTTGCTGAGTTTGTTGATTAACTCTAGTAGCTTTCTGGAGAAATCCCTGGGGTTTTTTATATATAGGTGCATGTTATCTGGGAATAGAGATAATTTTACTTCTTTCTTTCTAGTTTAGATTCCTTTTATTTTTCTTGCTTGCCTAATTGCTCTAGCTAGAAGTTCCAGTACAGTATTCAGTCGCAGTAGTGAAAGTGGGCATCTTTGTCTTCTTCCTGATCTTAGGGGAAAAGCTTTCAGTCATTCACCATTGAGTATAATACTAGCTGCATGTTTTTCTTAAATGCTCCTATCATGTTGAGGAATTTCTCTTCTATTCCTACTTTGCTGAGTCTTTTTTATCATGAAAAGGTGTTGAATTTTGTCAAATGCCTTTTCTACATTAGGTGAGGTCATCATGTGGTTGTTTTTCTTTGTTCTATTAATATGGCATATTACATTGATTGATTTCCTTATCTTGAACCACCTTTGCATTACTGGAATAAATCCCACTTGGTCATGGTGTGTAATCCAGTTTGCTAGTATTTTTTTTGAGGATTTTTGCATCTATATTCGTAAGGATTTTGTCCTGTAGTTTTCTTGTCATGTCGTTGTCTGACTTTGGTGTCAAGATAATGCTGGCCTCATAGAATGAGTTAGGAAGTGTTCCCTCCTCTTCTTTTTTTTTTGGTAGAGTTTGAGAAAGATTGGTGTTAATTCTTCTTTAAATGTTTGGTAGAATTCCACAGAGGAGACATCTGGTCTTGGACTTTTCTATGTTAGGAGGTTTTTGATTACTAATTCAATCTCTTCATACGTTACAGGTCTGTTGAGATTTTCTATTTCTTCTTGAGACAATTTAGGTAAATTGTGTGTTTCAAGAAATTGGTCCATTTCATGTAAACTGTCTAATTTGTTGCTGTACAGATGTTCATAGTATTCTCTTATAATCCTTTTTATATCTGTATGATCCCCACATTCATTTCTGATTTTAGTTATTTTCATCTTTTCTCACTCTGTCTTTAAGTAATTCAATTAAAGATTTGTGAATTTTATTGATCTTTTTAAAGAAACTTTTGGTTTTGTTGATTCTATTGTTTTTCTATTCTTTACTTCATTTATCTTTGTTGTAATCTTTATTATTTTCTTCCTTCTGGTAGCTTTGGGCTTAGTTTGCTCTTTTTCTGGTTTCTGAAGGTATAGAGTTAGGCTATTGATTTGAGATTTTTCTTCTTTTTTAGTGGAGGCATTTACAGTTATAAATTTCCCTCTGAACAGTGCCTTCTCCGCATCCCATAAGTTTTGGTATGTTATGCATTCATTTTCATTTGTCTCAGAGAATTTTATAATTTCCCTTGTGATTTATTCATTGATCTGTTGTTTGTTTAATGTTTTGTTTAATTTCCAGAATTTATAGATTTTGCAGTTGTCCTGTTACTGATTTCCAGTTTCATTCCATTGTGGTTAGAGAAGATATTTTGTATGATGTCAGTCTTTTTAAGTTTT